TATATGGGCATAAATACTACGTGGAAATTTCAAACATCTTTGAGATCCTCTAAGAATTTTGTTTTTTTTCCCCCCCCCAATGTTTATTTTTGAGAGAGAGAGAGAGAGAGAGACAGGGACAGAGTGTGAGCAGGGGAGGGGCAGAGAGAGAGAGAGAGGGAGACATAGAACCCGAAGCAGGCTCCAGGCTCTGAGCTGTCAGCACGGAGCCCGATGCGAGGCTCCAACCCACGAACCGTGAGATCATGACCGGAGCCAAAGTCGGATGCTTAACTGACTGAGCCACCCAGGTGCCCTGATCCTCTAAGAATTTTGAAGTCAGATGTCATACACCTTGTAAGCATGGAGACCACCATTATTCGAGGGAGTATAGGCCCGATCTATCTTAAAGGCAATTTTCATAGCAACCTGAGTACTTTTATAGGAGAAGCAAGGACTATTTTCATTTTACTCTGGGAGTTAAGGAGTGAACTTTATCAAGTAAGTCTGAATTAACATAAAGCTATATGTACAAATAACCTCTAAAAACCACATGTGGTTAAAACATTAACGATCTGAATATTCTTTTTTTTTTTTTAATTTTTTTTTAAATGTTTTATTTATTTCTAGGAGAGAGAGAGAGACAGCGTGAGCAGGGGACGGTCAGAGAGAGAGGGAGTCAGAGACTGAAACAGCCTCCAGGCTCTGAGCTGGCAGTCAGCACAGAGCCCGACGCGGGGCTCGAACCCATGAACCGCGAGATCATGACCCAAGCGAAAGTCGGACGCTTAACCGACTAAGCCACCCAGGCGCCCCCGATCTGAATATTCTTTTAAGTGTTCTGAAATCTCAATATCAACATGCAAAATAAAGTAGCACTTCAGTGGTCTTCACTCTCCACCAACAAACCACGGTCATAGACGGCAGGGGAACACAGAATCCTCTCTGCCTACGCTTTTATGTAATCATTGTATGAATATACAGTGGTAGGCATGATCCACTCATATAAAGATCCCGGAAACAACTTAAATTTACTGGTATTTAGAACTGAGGAAAGAAAAGGGTTGTTTCAACAGACAAAGGATAATATGAGTTTTGCTCAAGGTCAAAGACACAGACAAGTATATAGGTATTTCTGTATGTGTGTGTGTAGTTATGTTACGGAGGTATAACTCATACAGACTAAAGAGCACAAATTTCAAATATATAGTTCAGTGATTTTTACCTGTGTGTGTGTGTGTGTGTGTGTGTGTATGGGAAACCATCATGACAGAGATTATCATCATTTTCCAGATTCTCCTGTGCTCTCTCCCAGTTCAAATAACATTTGACTTCTAGCAGCACAAGTCAGTTTCACCTTTCCTTGACCATCACGTAAAAGGAATCCTACAATACATACACATTTGTGGAAGGTTTCTTTAGCTGAACGTTAAATCTGTGCAATTCATGTATGTTGTTACATGTATAGGCAGTTTGTTCTTTTCAAGTGCCCTGAATCTACCACAATCTGCTTATCCATTCTATGACTGAGGAATATTTAGGTTGTTTCTAGTTTGGAGCTATTATGAACCGAGCTACTATAACAGTCTTCTATATACTTGTGTGTGTGCGCGCGTGTGCACGTGCACACATGTGTGAACTAAATGCTGCATTCAGTTGTAATGAATATATACCTTCAAGTGGAACTGTAGAGAAATATCTTTCTTCCACATGCAGAAGGATTTATTTAGTTATATTCTTTTACATCATATGTATTTAAAGTCACGTTGGGCTTCCAGAGCAATTATTCTATCCCAGCTCAGATAGCACAATCACTCAGGAAACTTTGTTAGAGAATCCTCCGTGCCCCCACCCCCCTGCCAAACAAAAGGACTGCAATCAAAACTATAAATGCAGTGAATGCAGTAAAGAGATCTTTCTTGAGAAAATGAATGTTATGCAAACATGAGAGATTATTATTTTCTCTAATTTTAATTTGTCTAAACTATTCTCAGAACTGACAACTAAAGTCAGGAGTGTTTCTTCATTAATTTCTGAAAATATTTGTTCACTCTTATTGTACTTCTAATGAAGAATAAAGCTTTGGATTAAAACAGCAATCATTACATTCGAAGAAAACCAGCAAATTCAAGTCATCATAGTATTTTTATTTTTTATTTTTTTTTAAGGTTTTTTTTTTAATTTATTTATTTCTAGGAGAGAGAGACAGCGTGAGCAGGGGAGGGTCAGAGAGAGAGAGGGAGTCACAGACTGAAACAGGCTCCAGGCTCTGAGCTGGCAGTCAGCACAGAGCCCGACGCGGGGCCCAAATCCACGAACCGCGAGATCATGACCTAAGCGAAAGTCGGACGCTTAACCGACTAAGCCACCCAGGCGCCCCCATCATAGTATTTTTAGAACTGAAAGAATACTTTTTTTTTTTTTAAAGGAAGGACACAGGTGCACCTGGGTGGCTCAGTCAGTTAAGTGTCCAACTCTTGCTCCTGGCTCAGGTCATGATCTCACAGTTCACAGGTTCTGCACTGACAGCGCAGAGCTTGTTTGGGACTCTCTCTCTCTCTACCCCTCCCCTGCTCATGTACACACACAGATTCTCCCTCTCAAAATAACTTAAAAAAAAAAAAAAAGTGGTACAGAGCCCACAGAGCAATCACATCATCAGAAACAGGAAAGTACTAAAGGGAAAAATGCCACTGAAAAGCTATACATGAAGGCTCTATTCAAAAGAGGACAATAAGAAACTTGTCACCTGAAAGTCGTATGCCTTCTATGGTAATGATCATGAAGAAGCCAGAGTCTCATGAAAAACCTTAACAGAAGACGATCGAAATCTTTGAGATGGTAAATCTTTGAGAAGGTAGGGGCGCCTGGGTGGCTCAGTCGGTTAAGCATCCGACTTCGGTTCAGGTCATGATCTTGTGGTTTGTGGGTTCGTGCCCCGCATCGGGCTCTGTGCTGGCAGCTCAGAGCCTGGAGGCTGTCTTCAGATTCTGTGTCTCCCTCTCTCTCTGACCCTGACCTTCCCCTGCTCACACTCTCTCTCTCTCAAATATAAATAAAAATTAAAAAAAAAATCTTTGAGAAGGTAAATAAAATACCACCAAGCCATCCTCCTCTCCTTGCAAAAAAAAAAAAAAGTGGGAGTGGGCAAGTTTCTAGAGAACTTCATTTTTGAAGAGGTCATATGGGAAGATTAAAAAAAAAAAAAAAACTGAAACACAAAAATCATGTGGGCAGATTTAGAAACAACACCTGAAATAAATACCTGAAAGAGGCTATGGGACATACCGGATACAACTGACATGAGAGAAGAGATAAGTGAAGGCTTATACTGAGCAGACACAGGACTGACGGAATGAGTAAGTGAACTAATACACGATTAAATTCCTATGATATTTTTCTTGGTTTCTCTTTTGGCAATCAAACCAGCAGGTATGTCCATAAACCTCAACAATCAAGCACTTCAGTTTCTTTTCTTTCTTTAACTTATTTATTTTGAGAGAGAGAGAGACAGAATCCCGAGCTCCTCTACTGACAGCACAGAGCCCAAGGAGAGCTCAAATCCCCAAACCGGGAGATCACGAGCCCAAATGGAGTCAGACGCTTAACTGACCAAGCCACCGAGGCACCCCAAGCACCGTAATTTCTATAAAGGATTTAAAAGATTGATTTGGATGCAGAGGGTCAGATATTCATTAAACTGGAGCAGGAGGTTCAAGAGACAAGACAGGTGGAATTTTTTTGTTATTGTTTTTCAATTTGTTTGTGTTCATTTTTGTTTTATAGGTGAGGAGACACAGGTAACGTGACAAAAAACAGATCTCCCCCAGCACCAGCTACATGCTTTAATGGATGGCAACGGAAAGAACAGATGTTTAAGTCACCAAGATAGGTGTCTAGGAGGTATATGGAGGACCAAAAATATACTCCTCAGGGTCTGAAAGATGCTGAAGCAAAACCGGAACCCTCAATCTGCCTGATACATTAGCATCGTTAGTGCACATAAGGCCCTTTTGTGGACTATTCCAAAGAATCCATCGACATTCAGTGTCTTTTAAGTACAACAAAGGAATCTACTCCTTTCAGACACAATGTGCCCCAAATCAAAAACTCTGGTCTCCTTTATAAACTACACCAATCCCTTATAATAGATCTTTCAACAGGTGCTGATGCAGTCTTTGAAAAAGTGATACCTGCCCCTTAAAACGAGCACCTTGTTCACCCCAAACGTTCACATTCACAGAAGCATGGATGCTCTTGAAACTGTCAAGGTAGATCTTAAAGACCAAAATACAGCTTCAAATTCAACATTTCCTTCGTCCTCAGTGATTCCGAATCACAATTAATATATTAAGAAGCTCAGCTCTTCACTTTCAATCAATATAATCCCCTAGGAGACCAAGCAACAAAACAGTCACATAAAGTATTAGCTGCATGTATGCAGGAAAAATAACCTGAACCAGCAAGGTGATCGGTCAGTCTCCAGTTATATTCGTCATCTAGAGAAGGTGGTGGGGCAGAGACTTACAACAGACCAAATGAGGGGGCTTCCCACTTTAAGGAAGTATGTAAATTATGTAACTCAAGACCAGCATTCACTAATAAAAGCAGTGTTTTTTTTCTTTTAATAACAATTCGCCTAGATATTTCTCACTGTTCTAATTTAAAACGAACACATAGAAATATTTCAAATAGCATTTAAAGCCAAATGGATGACTCTAATCAACTCAAAAATTAGAATTCAGTGCATTTATAAAGATTTGTAAATGGAGTTCACATATAAAAGATACTCAGTCAAAAGACAAAATGTCTGTATATATATATAAACCTCTTTACTTTTATGTTCACCTTTATAATTTTTAGCATGTACCGTAAAATTCAGTGTGACGTTTAAGCACTCCGATTAACTGACAGAGACCCTTTCTTTATACTATTCCAACACGCTGCTAAAGCTAATACTGTAAAGCATAACATTTCAGCACGAAGTTTCGTTCACACAGGAGTTTATGCCGTATACTCACTACATCAAACTTCTGAGTGATGTTCCCCTGGACGTCGAGTAAATAGACCTTGCCGTAATGTGTGCCCAGTGCCAAAAACTGCAAGGAGAACAGAGGGGTGAGTTTATTAGTGAGCCCATGAACGCACATTTGGCAAGTGAACCATTGTCAAAGTCAGCACTCTGAACGCGTAAGTGAGCTGCGGTGCCTCGGAACACGCACACGCCTCAGAGAAGGCTTGTTCCCAGCTTCGGGGAAAGAAGGGAACGGGGCTGCCTTTACTGGAAGGGTGCACACGGCCTGTCAGAATGACCCAGGAGGCCCCTCATCCACGGAAGACTGATGATGTGCCTGCACTCAGTACACAACGCCTGGTGGGTGGAGGCAGCAAATCCACACGCAGCTGCAAAAGCCTGGCCAGCCTCCAGCTGAGCTCCAAGTCAAAAGGGAATGATGAAACCCCCCCTTCATTGATGGCAAGTGTGTAAATCTGCACTATCATGTGAGTTTAATATACATACCCATGTGCACAAACAACCAAGTATTATTTAAAAAATTTTTTTAATGTTTTTATTTATTTTTGAGAGAGACAGAGCGTTGAGCAAGGGAGGTGCAGAGAGAAAGAGAGGGAGACACAGAATCCAAAGCAGGCTCCAGGCTCTGAGCTGGCAGTCAGCACAGAGCCCGACGCGGGGCTCAAACCCACAAACCGAGAGATCATGACCTAAGCTGAAGTTGGACGCTTAACCAGCTGAGCCACCCGGGTGCCCCAACCAAGTATTATTTTTGAGGAAGCAAAGTCGGAGTCATGCTGGGAGATGAAAAAGCCCAGAAGCATTTACGTCTTCAGTTAGCACGAAATGCTCTATAAAAGTTAGTGGGGACCGCTGACTGCAGATGTTTATATTCTAATGCAAAAAAGAATCCTTGGTCGCAAAATAACGACTGAGCTACTTATTCAGTTGATAGGAAATAGCTCTTGACTCCCATCGGTCCTTTAATTCTTTGAACCAACCCTAAACAAACATGACGAAACTCGAAGACGACCTGAAACAGGACAGGAGATTTTTTTTCTTCCTTTTTACCTCCTTCACCATCACTCAAATGTTCTAAATTCTAGGTCTTTCATTGCATGGGAACATGCTTCGTTGCAACCTATAATGAAATGCTGAAATTTACAGGTGCTACGAAGCGTTTTAGTCAAGCAGCACAATCTTTAGGAGAAATAACCTTATGGAATGTCAAGGTTTAAAAGGATTTTATCAAAATGCAATTGCTGAAAATGAAATTCCAGCCCGGGCACTTAAAATATGAAGCTACATTAAAGAGAAGCCACAGAAAGGGAGAGAGGGGCTCATTAGAAATGCGCCCCCCAATGCCTTTCACTCCTGCAAGGTTGCCTTTTTTTTTTTGCCAGCAAGAAAAAAGTCCCCCGGGTAAAAAAATCAATACTGGTTAATAAAACATCAGGTGTGGAGACATAACTAGGTATGACGATTCGGCCGCGCACGCCTGCCTGAACGCACCAGGTGCCGTGCCGAGTCCACACCCGGCGCAGACAGCAAGTCTGCTGGAAGCGAGGTGCGGGGGCCCTGCAAACGAAGGGGCAAGAGGTAATTCTAGGGGGAAATTAGACTGAATATTTAAACCGAGCCGGGACGTTGCCTCCAAAGCACCAGAACATTCGAATCAGAAACGGAGGACTGGGATGGCTCGGATGGTTGTAATTTTTTCTCCGCAGTGACACTCTGACGGTATTTGAATAGAAGAAAAAACCCACATGCTACTAGCTAAAAATGAATACTCCCGCTTCGGTCTGCGATGGGCTGTGGTAAAACAATGAGTCTTAAGAGCTCACCGGGCCCCAAGTACTGGATGGTATTGATCCTCCTCATAAATACTGTATTTAGTTTGTTAGAAAACTAAGGGGGCTCGGATCCTTAAAATGCTTTAATCCTGGTGATTCTGCAACACAGCTGTAGAGGCCATTCTTGAACTTCCAGTTATACTTGATTTTATCAAAACTTTTAAAGGTTCTATGCACAACACCTGAATATTAAGGTCTTCCCTTTTTCTCTTTCAAAACTGCTACTTTCACTCATTAAATATTTAACAAAGAAAACATAATTATTTTGATTTTATAGTTTCAACCTGAAACCATAATTCCTTTAGAACACTTCTGAACAAAAATGCAGCGGTTTCTGGAACAAGCTACCTTTTCTTTACTAAAACATTTCATTCGGATTAGATCAATTGTTGCTATTGCCTTTTAGAAATAAATACGTGTCCTTAAAAAAAAAAAAAGTAGTTTCATAAAACAATTGTATAGGTCTTAGAAAGTCTATTTAACTACTGAAATTATCGAGGAGTCATACTTTCCCTTACTAATGCTTTGGACTACTCAAAGTACAACAAAAAAATGCAAAATTGACCAGAAATCACAAAGATGAATACAAATCCTTTAAATGTGATTCTTCCCAGGGGCACCTGGGTGGCTCAGTCGGTTAAGTGTCCAACTCCAGCTCAGGTCATGATCTCATGGTTCATGAGTTCAAGCCCTTCATTGGGCTCTGTGCTGACAGCTCAAAGCCTGGAGCCTGCTTTGGATTCTGTGTCTCCCTCTCTCTCTCTCTGCCCTTCCCCCCAGCTCATGCTCTGTCTCTCTTAAAAATGTTAAAAAAAATTTTTTAAATGTGATTCATTCCAGCCATTAAAAGCCTTGAGCAGTTGTAATTACTGTGTTTTTAACCTGAGAACACTTAAAATCCAGGATGAGCAAAGGATAAGCATAATTTATTTAACCCCTTCCATATTTAAGTATAGAAACTTGACTCCTTTTGTAAACTAGCAGACTGGGCATCCAATTCTTCTGACATATCCGGTCCCCTGGGCATAACTGTTTTTACTCTGAATGAAGGGACTCTGTGGAAGTAAACAAGCAGAAGAAAGGATAAGCAGTCCTTCAGACACCATGAAGGAAACAGCTCATACGTGGTCAGCTGTATAATATCGTCTGTGTTTCACAAAGCATTTTACAGTATTCGAAATATTAGAGCTGGGAGTGCCTTTAACTCCGCATGAGAAAAGAAGTCCCAGGAGTTGATAGGAGCCCCCTGGACATGGTCAATCAGTGGCAGAACTGAGGCCAGAATTAAGAGCCAAAATACTCTCAACTGGATCAGAGACTTCATAAATAGAAACATGGCCATCACTTTAAGAGCGCATATTCTAAAAGTCAGCACGGATTATAGTTCCCACGGTCAGCTCCTTGACCAACTTGGTTTAATTATGGTGTCAATAAAGTCTGGTCTCCCAGCAGGCACACTATGCTCTGTTTCATCCAGAGGTTCATTCAACAGACAAAAAGCACCTGTACAGCCTTCGATAATAAGCAGGTGTAACTTAAAAGGTGATGGTATAACGAGGAATACAGATTAAAAGGGTTGATTAATTAGAGAGTACCCTTAAAATGGGAGATCTCTACAACCCTCTGGAACCAGGCAGGGGTCAGCTGTGCTGAACTTTGAAGGAGTTAGACAGTAGACCCTGAGGCAGATGGGACAGGATGTGGTAAAGACCATTTCAGGCAGAGTGAGCACCACTTGCTCAAAGGCATGGAGTCCCATAAAAAGCAGGGCAAAGTCGGGGCCCTGGGTGGTTCAATCGTTTAAGCCTCCAACTCTTGATCTTGGTTCAGATCATGCTCGCACGGTTCGTGTATCCGACCCCACCATCAGTGCGCAGCCTGCTTGGGATTGCTCCTCCCTGCTCATTCTCTCTCTCTCGCCAAATAAACTTGGGGGGGGGGGGTGGAGGACCAAAAAAAAAAAATCAAGAAACTACAAGTAGTTTTATATGGTGGGAGCATCCAGTTTGCGCCCAGGGGAAGAGACAGGTGAGAAGGCTGGAAAGGCGGGTCAACAGGAAGCACCTGAATATTTATGGTGATGAACGCAGGTGGGGAAAAGGGTGCACGAGAGGATACCCAAATCCTCGAGACGTCAGGGAACCACTAAAGAATTCTAGGGAGGATTACGTGATCAGATTTGAATTTCTGGACTGACTTTTTAATGTTTATTTTTCAGTGAGGGAGAGACAGTGTGCGAGTAGGGGAGGGGCAGAGAGACGGGAGACACAGAATCCAAAGCAGGCTCCAGGCTCTGAGCTGTCAGCACAGAGCCCAATGCAGGGCTCGAACCCACAAACCGTGAGATCATGACCTGAGCCGAAGTTGGACGCTCAACCAACTGAGCCCCAGCGCCCCTGGGAGATTGCTTTCGGTAGAAAGAAGTGCTGTGGATGGACCAGAGCGAAAGCAAATCTGCAGGAAAGCAGACTGGCTGGCAACATGTGCAGCAGTTCCAGAGAGAAATGCCAAATGCCCACACCAGCAGACAAGGGCCCAGGACGGGAGCAGGCTCGAGCAGGCAGGATGCGGGTCGGATCCAGGCAGAAGAGAGGGTGTGAGTAAAAACAGCCAGGCGCCGCCTCCAACACACCACCCATCCAGCAGAAGGGGGTAGGCGTGAAGCCAGTTACACGAGGGGGCAAGATCTTAGGGGGCCTCACATCCCACACACGAAGGAGCTTAGACTTTACATAGCAGAGGGTGAAAATCATACGAGGGTTTTAAATCTGTATTTTCAACAGCGGATTCTGGCAACCAGGTTGCAAAGGGGTTTAAAGCAGAAAAGGGAGCGGTCTGTGAGCAGAGGCAGGGCAAGTGGGAAAATCACCAGGACTCAGGAAAGACCGGGTGGACGTGGAGGAAGAGCCAGCTTTGGCTTAGGTGACGGAAGGTGACAGTTATGCTGCCAAATGGGACAGACAACAAAACAAAATGATGCGAGGTTAGAGAGAGAGCAGAAGAGGAGCTCACAACGGGGGAGCCGAGCTTCTGGGGACCACAGAACAAAAGGTGGAACCGATTACGAGGCGCCTGGATAAGGAAGCATGCTGCTCTGGGGAGGCGTCCGTGGGTAGGTGGTCACGGACATTGTGAAATTTAAAAATCAAGACAAAGGCCCACAGGAGGGACGGCAAGGCCAGTCTTCAGCGAGCGTAGCAAGGGGACACGGAAGCTGGGACATGGCCCCAATGGCAGACTGGGAGAGCGCGGCAACGGGGGTGGGGGGGAGACGGTGGGACAGCCGAGTGAGAGGTGCCCCAAGCGAGAACAAGGGTTCTATTAACAGCGGGATGAAACCTGAAGTAAAAGGGAGGGTGTGGGGCGCCTGGGGGCTCAGTCTGTTGAGCGTGTGACTTCCGCTCAGGTCATGATCTCAGTTCAGGGGTCTGAGCCCCGCACTGGGCTCTCTGCTGTTGGCACAGAGCCCGCTTCAGATCCTCTGCCCCCCCACCCCCGCTCTCTTTGCCCCTCCCTCTTTGTGAGCTTCAAGAAGAAATAAAACATTAAAAAAAAAAAAGGTAGGAGGATGAGGAAACACTACTGGCGATTCCGGTTAAAGCCAGGAGGTGGGTCAGACCTGGGGAATCTGCCTCACTCTTGGAGGCCCACAGGGAAGAAGAGGGCAGTGGCTCAAACCGCCCGGCCTCCAATACTCCGCTCAGAACACATTCTGTTTGGGCCCAAGAATAGGTAAAGGGTGCTGTATGGTACTTAGCCTGAACTCACAAGGCCAGCGAGGGCTTTGGTACGGCAGAGCCCAGAAGGGAACGTATTAATCCATAAAATATGTAAGTAATCATTTGGGGCCTCTCCAATGATTCCTAACACCGCCAATGCAAGGTCTTCTGCCGCCATGAAAGCACGGAGTGTTACGGAATTTCCAGTCTTCTGGAACTCTACTACTTATGGCCTGAGGAATTTAAAGTGATAGAGCTGCCTAGAACTACTTGCTAGACATCTTTCACATCGATCTAAATTCTACTGGATACACCCTTGCAGTGTGTGTGCGTATGTGTGTGTGTGTGTGTGTACATATGTATCATGTTTTTGGCTGTCATTTTCATTTTTCTGTTGGAGAGGAAGAAGAAAGGGACCGAGAGAGGGAGACACAATTATTGGGAAAAGCCACCACAAAAAGCATCAGGAGTCCAGAGGATACACAAACTTCATGACAGAAGGGATCTCGAGAAGACTCCTCTGCGAGCACTACCTTACCTTGTCATGGACAGTCATGCAGCCGGCCGCATCCTTCTGAAGGATCTCAGTTACCCCATTGGAAAGCCTTTCATACTTCAGTTTGGGCTCCTCCTCGCTTTCTTCTTCCTACACAAAAAGCAGAGAAAATAACAGCCATCACAGATGTGAAATAGACTCAAAACACATTTCTCAAAAGGGGACCAGAGATGGCCTCCTCAATGATCGTCAATAACTACAAATATAGGTAAGGGTTAAGAGCTTCATATTTCGGAGCACCCCATTGGCTCACTCGGTTGACCGGACTCTTGATCTTGGCTCAGGTCATGCTCTCAGTTTAGGAGTTCAAGCTCTGCTTGGGATTTTGTCTCTTCTTCTCTTCCCCTCACCTGGCTTGTGCTCTCTCTCAAAAAAAAAAAATTAGAGCTTCAGGTTTCCATTTTTCCAATTGGGTATATCAAGTGTTACAACTTCACCAGCAGAATACTTTCAAAAGTTGAGAACAGGAGCATATATACGTACTGTCAACAGTCATCACCTTTGGCATATTAAATATAAAACTATCCAAGGACACCTGGGTGGCTCAGTCAGTTAAGCGTCCGACTCTTGGTTTCAGCTCAGGTCATGAACTTGTGGTTCTGTGAGTTCGAGCTCTGTATCGGGTTCTGAGCTGACAGTGTAGAGCCTGCTTGGGAGTCTCTCTCTCCCTGTCTCTCTGCCCTTCCCCCACTCACACTGTCTTTCTCTGACTTCCCAAATAAATATAAACTTAAAAAAAAAAACCTATTTCCATATATGCCAATAAAAGATGTGTGGGCAAAATACTGGTCAGTTTGAGGTCATGGACACAAAACACTCAGAGCAGGGAGACAGGAATACATTAAACCTCCAGAGATGTGGATTTTATATTTCAACACTATAAATATCTTTGCTGGATTTGGGAATATCTACTTTTAGTTAGGAAAAAATATAATTACAAAAAATATATATAATTACAAGAAAAAACAAAGGAAACTGGAAATTGTATTACAAAATGTATTCATACAAATAAAAATATTTTAATAGTTATAAACACTGACAGCCCATCATTTATGTTTGTTAGAAAATGTTGTTTACTTTCATCTAAATAAATCTAATGCATTAAAAAAATTTTAATGCGTTAAAAATTTCTTAATCATTTTGTATGTATTATCACTCACTTTGTATGTTCAACCTGTTGATACATCAGAAGATATCCTTGGTCCTCACAGTTATGGAGCAAAGTTAGGAATCTATAGGGACTATCATGGCTCTGAATTAAATCAAGGAGAATTATGAAAATTATTATAAGGACTCAGGAAAAGATGTTATTTTACTGTGTCAACATGTAATGAGAAACTATAAAATGTGCACGGGTCAGTAACTGTGACGGAATAAAGCTGGCCAAACAAAAGTTCGTGAAAATAACCGACTCATGGACATTCCCTTCAAAAGTACTGCAATTGTATAGTCTTCACTTTCCAGCTAACATTTGGGTAACTTGAGGTACATCCATGCTCCCACCTCTATGCCTCTAGAAAGGCTTAGTGAAATACACAGCACAAGTCAAAGGCATCAATTAAAGGGCAGCTGAAGCAGCCTAGAAGGGCCAAGATTCCAAGATGGTGGAGAAACCACGGCCAGGTGAGCTAGCGATCTCCAGCCATTCTTCCTAGGTATTAACCAGTTCTGGGTGCAGGACAAGAGGCTGAGAACCCAAGCTCTGCCTTGGAAGACGGCCACTGCTGAGGGTAGGAAAGGCTGCACATCTTCTGGTACTTGTAGGATTCAAGTAACAAAACAGGAGGCTTGAGGGGCTAAGATCCCAGGGGAGGAGAGGGGCAGAGAAGGGAGCCAGTTACACAGCCACTCTTCCCCATGAGACAAATGCCAATCTCCAAAGCTACAAAGCTAAACAGAAAGTCTCAAAAATGCAAAGCAGCTGCCTTGATGTGCTTAGAAAATAAGAATTGGAATCTAGGAATTAGCAACAAATGAGGTCCTGATGAACAGCACAGGCCAACTGGAATGCCAGGTCCCCAGAGGACATGAAAAAGTAGCTTCCCAAGCTTCAATGTGTCTCTGACTCTGTTCAACTGCTGACTGGAAGATACAGAAGATACAGAACCCCCAACCGATCTGTTCAATAAAGACAGGGGGACTCCTGGGAAAAAGAGTATAAAACTTCTTCTCTTTGGAGTATAAAACTACTGGGGCCTCTACCATTTTCACTCATAATACTGAGAATAAAAAATAACAAAAAAAACCAAAATCAATTTTAAAAAAATCACCAGGTATGCCACATGAGTGGCAGTGACTAAAACTTAAGTGACTAAAACTCAAGGGAGAGAAAAGACCATAAAAGTAGACCCAACAGGTGACCGGGAACCATCAGAAAGGGCTTTACTATGATTAGTATGGTCAATAAAAGAAGATGGGAGAAGAGAGATGAAGAGATACAAATTTTCAAAGGGAATTATAATCTGTAAAAAAAGAATCAAATGGAAATTTTAAAACTGAAACCAAGAATGTAACAGAGGGCTTACTGGAAGATTAGCAAAGCTGAGGCCAGGATTTGTGAAGTGTAAAACAGGTCAAATAAATCTCCAAAGGGAAGCCAGAGCAGAAAAATGGATGAAAAACACAGAGGAAGAATCGGGGATATGCGCAACACAGGGAAAAGGGCTAAACTTTCCATCACAGTCCCAGACAAATAAGGAACACGAGTTGGGGAGAGGGGCAAGAGCAATATTTAAAGAGGCAACAACCGAGAATCTCCTAAAACTGACAGCCACCAGCCCACAAAGTCAAGGGGCTCTGTAATCCCAAGCAGGATAAACATGGAGAAAATCACGCCGAGGCACGTCCTAGTAAAAAGAAAAAGTAAGGAAAAGGAAAATGACTTATAGAAAGGGAAGTGCTGGCCTGTTGAAGGTTATGACATCCCAGGCAGCGATGCAAACTCAAACGGCAAGAGCGGTCTTTCCCTCTAGCACACAGAACCGCACGGTAACACGGGAAGGGTGATATTCATCAAACGTCCTGTGACAGACTTAATTAACATCAGATAGCTCATCTTGACTTAAAAAAACAACAACACTGGAGAGTTAAGTATAATTACTCCATTTTACAGATTTTCAGCACTAAATTATGATCAGAAATTTTAATCTCACCAAGCACATACACAGAGCCGAAATTCAGATAATCATGAGTGCCCTACAGTCAATGACTTGTGTAATATACTACCCAATCCCCTATCAAAATGCTACAAATCATAACAGAAGCCTCCACAACCCCTATGCCTACAAATAACTAACTATGACCTATGTGATCAATAGGAAATGTTTAAAAACACTTAGCAGGTGCATTAGTCATCTATTGCTGCATAACCCATTATGCCAAAATTTACTGACTTAAAACAATAAACATTTTAACTATTTAAATATTAATTTAGGGGTGACTGGGTGGCTCAGTTGGTTAAGCCTCCAACTCTTAATTTTGGCCCAAGTCATGTTCCTGGGGTCGGGGGATCAAGTCCCACATTGGGCTCTGTGCTGAGCACGGAGCCTGCTTGGGATTCACATGCTCTCTCTCTCAAAATTAATTAAAAAATTTTTTAATGTTTAATACTTCTGTGGGTAAGCAATACAGGACTGGCTCAGCTGGGTGGTTCAGACTCAAGGTCTCTCGTGGGGTCGCAGGCAAGATGGGAGCTGAGGCCGCAATCATCTGGCAGGAGGCAGGACCGGGCTTAGAGTATCTGCTTGCACAACGGCTCACTTGGTTGTCAAGTCGATGCTGCTTGTTGGCAGGAGGCTTCGGTTCCTCACTTCTGTGAAGCATTTTCCTTAATGCTGCCTGAGGGTCCATGGAAAGGGACTTCTCCCACAGCGAGTGATCCAAGAGAAACAGTTACATATGACCGAGTGGAAGACGCACACTCCCGCAGTATTCCACTGACCACACAGGTCGGCCACGATTCAGGGCGGGGGGGGGGGGGGGGGGGGGGGGAGTCACAAGGGCAGGAATAATAGCTGAGGTGCAGCAGGGGGCTATCCTGCAGGCTAGCTACGGAAGTAATAAAAATTTAAAAGCAATAAATCTGGTTTTAAAAAAATCAGTATTCCAGGTCTCTGATGAGCAGTCAAAGTTTCTTCCAAGTATATATAAGCTATTAGTTGTGTATTTAGTAAGAGTATGAAAAACCAAAGATGACATACCCACTACTAACATTCCAAGAATGACTTTAAGAATAGCAGCAAAGAAAGGAAGTAGAATATGCATGGCTATCTAAGACCCGTACTCTTTAAAAAGGTTAACTGACAAGCAGCACCTGGGTGGCTAATTTGATTGAGCATCCGACTCGATTTTAGCTTGGCTCATGATCCCAGGGTTGTGGGATTGAGCCTTGCACCAGACTCTGTGCTAAATACGGAGCCTACTTAAGATTCTCTCTCCTGCTCTCTCCCTCCCTCTGCCCTTCTCCCCTGGGTGCACTCTCTCTCTAAAAAGAAAAAAAAATTTTTTTTTCAAGTAAAAATAACTGATGAAAGTCAACCCAAGGAGCTGCTGTATGTTAAAACCGACCTGTTGTTATAAGGGTTAATTAACAAAGTCAAAAAAAATTTATAAAAAGGAAAATTACAAAAAGCAACAAAGACACACTTCGACTCTTGTACCTACAAGCAAGAAACAGAAATCATTACAAAGTTAACATTAAATGTGGCAAAGATGATGTGTGTCTTCTGGAGTAAATGTGTTAAATACAAATTGAATCCTGAACGCTAGTCTTTATAATAAGATGCCACATGTTGCTCAAGTCCAGACATCAAATGTGCATCCAACGTGAAAAGTTAATTCTAGCCTCTTGACTATTTTGCATAAAAGCACTCATCCACAGGCCATTAGATAAAGTTACTGTAAATAAGGCTTGCCTGTCTTATTTCTAAGTGAAAACTAAATAATTTCTCTCACATAAATATACAAAAATAAATGCTTTTCCAACACAGCTCACTGAAGCATTCATGCTAGGCTTCAAAAACCATAAATAAAAACGAAAACTCCAATATTAGGCACTTGAGGTAGCACTGCACACTTTTCTGACAGGTATC